GCTGGATATGTTTGGTATAGAAAATATGATTCCAATCTTAAACCTGTTTACATTCAGACAAGTTTTGTCTTGCTTTATCTGGAAAATGACATGCAATGACAAAGGACAAGAAACTAAAGGGGGAAAAACAGGTATAAACTCAGTTGGTAGACATTACATCAGAGGGTTTTAGTTACATGAAAAAAGAAACACCTGCATACTGATCTACAATGGATCTACACTGAAAAGTGTTCATACTCCCTAATGCAATTTACTATGCTAGAACCACAAATCTCAATATATTTTGGGGAATTTATGTAAAAGATCAACATAGAGTAGAATATAAATGTGAGGTTGAAGGAAATATAATTGGCTTCTAAAGTTGTTTTATACAATTTAAAAAGATGTAAAAATGTAACATATTTTTGTTTCAGCCTCCTTTTTCTCCAATACCCCTAAATACCAGTATTACCCACCCAAGAAGATAATATCAGACAAAAAATAAAAAATAAAGACAATTCAGGCATCCTATACAGCACACAGACTATCCACTCTCTTGCCCAACACATCCCGTTACACTCATATAACACAGCGATCGGGATCAGCTCTGGCACCGCTACAAATCCAGCTTACTTCATGCACCTATAACACAAATAAACATTTTTTCCATATTGTAGGATTGACTATTTAACCTTGGAGGTAGCCTGGTAATATCCTGCAGGATCAGGCTGGAGGTGAGCGGCTGATTCTGCTGTTCTGTAACCTAAACTGTTACAGAAAGGTTTTTGATTATAACATTTTATAGCTTAAATAAAACATGCCACACAGGCAGCAGTCTATAAATAGAAACATGTATGGAAATCCAAACGTACCACGTATTAAATGCATTAAAACCTGACATTTCTCAACCTGAATACAAATCCAACAAAAACAACTACCTCCAGGGGTCATATATTCAGTCAAGGGTTATTACTGTGTAATTAAATCTGACCATATCTACTAATGTTCCACGAAAGCCTAAGAGCTGGGTGAACATCCTTTAACAAGGTGAACCTGGAAGACCAAGGCATACAAAAGCCAGTTCCAGTCTAAAATTAAAGAGCAGAAAGCAATCCCAAACTTCTTTTCAAGGGACCTTAATCAAAACCAAACAAAAGGCTCATGGTAACAGGAAGAGCAGCAGAGATCCACAGGTTGTGTAGAAATATTGTTGATTTAACTACGGGACATGAGATGCAGAAATGTCCTTGCATGGCAGAGTAGCATAAAGCAAACCCTAAGAAGTCTTCTTTAAAATGTACAAGAAGCTATGTAGCTGACAAAGGAAACATGTAAAACAAGGTGCAAATCTGATTGTTTGAGCTTTTTACCAAAGGTTATGGCTGGAGGAAAACTAATACTGCACTTTTGTCAACCCCACGATTTCCACCGTGTCGTATGGTGGTGGAAGAATTATGCTGTGGGGATCTCAGCAAGGACAAGGAAGCTGGTAAAATGGGAAGATGGTTAAACCAAAATGCAGGGGGAAACAGGAGAAATATATGTTAGAGGCTTCTTATAAAGACTTAAAAATATTGATCATATTGATGAACTTTATTGATCTTACAGTGGAGAAATTTATTCCAAAGAAGTCCCCCTTGTACAATACCAGCCTACTGCTATACAGGCTTAAACACATAGTCAGAGCTACAGTGACACGGTTGTAACAAAGCCCACCCATATGTTAAGATGACTCAGTCCCAGCTGTAAATCAGCTAAAGTTGTGTCAAGAGTTTCAGGTTGCTTTTCACAGGCACATTGATCCAACCTGTCAAAGCCTGAGGGATTTGCAAAAAAATATAAAGATGTTAGCAAGTCAGTGACAATAAAAAAATTTTGAGGGTTAGATGTCGTGATGATTTATGTCTCTGTTTATCCAAAAAATGTTCATTTTCTGTGTTTTGTAACCTTTCCCAACAGATATGGTAAAAAACCTTTGTAATATATAGTTAAGGTTCAACAAATAAAATTAATATGTAAAAATTATTATAATTAAATTATTTTTTGAATTACTCAGCATGTATTATTAAAATATAATTAGATGTATTATGTCTATAACTAAAATAAAATTTTGACCACTGGATATATCATAAAAAAAAAGTCATTTTAACCAACAATGTTGTGGTAATAGTTTTTTTTTATTAATCTGTTATTAGCAAATTAATAACAATTACTGACAGATTTACCTTACCTATAATGCTAATATATAATTAATATACTAACACAAAATACAACTGATCGTATTTGATTGTTTTTAAATACTAAGAATGATCACAAACGGAGATCCAGCTCAATTTTCAGACAAGATGAAATGGTGGCATTTGACAGCTTGCACAAAGCCCTTTGTTAAGGAGATTACATTGATCTGTCTGAGGAGCGAAGAGCAGATTATCCCAATGCTCGGCTGCTCTTCAGAAAGCCATTTATGTCAAATCAAAGTCACACGTTTGAGATCTACAGCTCTACAAAGTTCAGCCTCATCTCTGAGTGTCAGCATTACAGTAGCTTCCCATCGTTAGCTACTGTACACCACAGAGCTAACTACCCACAACTAACGGTTCATTTTAGTTCAAAGCTTTTTGAGGTTACGACAGCGATAGCATACAATTTTCTATGCAAGAATATATCCGTACATGCGTATTTTATTAGCATTCACTATAATATTAAAAGTTGTAGCTAGCGGCGTTGCCGTGTGTCTGTCTGTCTGGGTGGGTCTGAGCATCTTCTGCCGCTGCAGCTAACGAGCGGTTAGCTCGGAGGAGCCAGGCTCGCTGGGCCTCCTTTAGCAGGGTTTCCCCGCAGCGGTGGTCTGAGGGAGACCCATATGGAAGCGGAAAAACGAGGGCGTTCATTTAAAGAGCTGAAATTAGACTGTATGGTATTTTTTACCTGCTGATTTTTTGGGCGAATGCGCGGCGTTCAGCCATGGCAGTGGCCGCTGTTGTGCTTTCACAGAATTCCCAGGCAGGCACTCTGTTCTTCACTCAAAAACCCACGGCCAACAGGGACAACGGGAGAATGGGATCACTCCCGTAAAAACTGGAGCACTGCGCACAGGAACACACCCAAGAATGAGCTTTCGCGTTTTTCTCGTTGGTTGTGGTTTTCTTTTAGCTGTAGTCAGAATTTTAGCTACATAACACGTTACTAACATATTTTTTTTCTGGAGAAAATGCAGTTAAAAAGCGAATAAAACATTTTATTTTATTATTATTATTATTATTTTTTCAATTTTTGTATCTGGAACAGTGACTGACCTGATAATAAATTATAATAGCAACAAATACAATTTAACTTATTATTGTGATAAGAAAAATAATAAAAAAACGATTATAATGAGAAAAAGGAATTGAGAAGTTTTTTTAAAAAGCTAATATTTACAAGAAATAAACTAAATCTTTAGTGAAAGCGCAGAACGATTTCTATAGTAAAAACTGTAAATATACATAAAATGTATAATGGTGTAGGTGAGTTTACAAAAATTTATTAAGGAAACATTTTACTAAATGAGAGATAAAACAGTCTGATACTTCCAATAATAAATTAAACCAGCATACTCCTAATAAATAAATAAATCAAGAGGTGCTGTTCCGCTATCCAGGCATCCTGTCCTTGCATAGAAAATCATTGAATAAAGTCAATGCAGCAGGTGTAACCTTATTTTTAATTTGTTCAGAAATAGTTAATTGACCTAGGTATATACATGTCTGTGCTGCCACACCCAAGCTGCAAAGTCAACTCAGGATGTTTGCATATTCAAATATAATGTGTAAAAAGACACAAGTTGCATGTCCACAAAGCCAAGACATTTTTTAAATTAGTGCCTCTCTCATTTATTTTTTTAAATGGAAATGCTATACATCCAGAAAAGAGTTCTGGGCCATTTGGTTTAATTGAGATTTTTTTGGGGCTTCTGATGGAACAGACTAAATGGTTCAGAATAAAACCTTATATCTGAACATCTAGTTATTTTGAATTTGAGCACAATGCAGACATTCATGTTTTCCTTTAAATTAAGTTTATGTTTTATTAAATAGGCACTTTTATATATTTCTGGGTGACTTAAACTATTTGGTTCATGAAAGTTATGAAAAGTGGTTTTATAAATTATTTATGGTGTTTATGATTTGTTGTTTTGGTCACTAATCGATAAAGCCACATTAATTGTGTGTCTCTCCTTTATATGAGGTTTGGCAAAGGATTAACTTGGCCTCCTCTACATTTTAAAGTTTTCAATAATAAAAAAGAGCCGATTGATTGAAGTAGAGCATGGTGTATGGTTGTTGGTGCCTATTTTTAGCCACTTGAGGATCTAGTGGTATTATTTCATCCATAAAGTGCTAGCCTTTTATGGTCAGTGAACTTCTTCTCGTGGGTTGTGAATTATTTCAAATACAAAAAATGACTAAAAGTTTGTTTTTGTACTTTTCTCTCTCCAGTACTCATATTTGCACCAGTGGAGATTGCATTTAAATCAAATCACTCAAGTAAACTGATGGTAATATATATTAATACTCTCCACAACATCATTTAAAACTTTGTGATGTTTTATTTTTATTTAAAAATGTGGGACTAGTAGCATCGTGGCATATATTAATATTTGTGCACATAATGTAATTTATCCTCTTGTCAGTGAGCTATAGGCATGTGGTCGTACAGTAGGTATATATATATATATATATATATATATATATATATATATATATATATATATATATATATTTATTATTTTTTATAAGACTCAACTATCATGATTGAATATCTACATATTTACAAAAATTTGGGTACTAAATTGGTTACATTTTAACTGAAAAATACCCCCAATCCACTTAACCGGATATGAGTCGGGTTTTGTTTTAAAAGAAATTTAAGAAAGAAATAAAACCATTTAGAAAAAAAAAAAGCGATTAAGCTCCGCGCGTTTGGGCTATCTTGGTATACAAATCAAACAAACCCCCGCCCTCTTCTCGACTGAAAAATCGCGAGATCACATGACTGCTCCACATTACTTCCTCAAAGCGTAAACATTAGTTACTCGCAGAAGAGCGTAAAGTTGTTCAGCAGGTTAAGAAGGCAGTGTTCCATGTGTTATGATACCATGCTATGTTTAAACTTGGAGAGAAATGGAGCGCGTCCGTGACGGGAAAACGGCATTGTATTGATGACGTGTTGAGGTAGCGATTCGTGCACTGCAAGCTGTCAATGTCTGTAGTTCTTCAAAGTAACGCGCTGTAGTGGCTAAATGTGTGAATATTTTCTCTTGCATTAAGGTCAGGGTGGTGTTGCTGTGTGGGAATGGGTGCTTTCTCTAGCTGCTTCAAATGGAGAGTAAAGGGAGCGACGAGGTGGAAAAACTGAAGACAAAGTTTATGTCAGTTTGGAACAACGTGAAGTACAGTAAGTGATTTGATGCTGACTGCCTCCCATTGTGAAGCACTATTTTATATAAAGCGTTTTCTTTATAAGTTACTGAATCTGAAGCTAACATAACTTCAAATTATACTAATCATTAGTTAATAAACATTGAGGCACCTTTGTGTTGCTGAGTCTGAGATTTGATTTTTAATAGCTTTAAACTTCCATTGAAGTATTACCTAAGATTTTCAATAAACCGAAAGTTTATATATTACATTTTTACTATATTAAATAAAGTGAATATTTTACTTAGGGCTGAAACAATTAATCAGATGAATCGATTACTGAAATAATTATCAACTAATTTAGTAATCAATTAATCGTTAACTGGAGTATAGAGACTGTAAAATTATATATATTTTATATACAAATTATATATATATATATATATATATATATATATATATATATATATATATATATATATATATATGTGTATATATATATATATATGTGTATATGTAGAAATTGTAAAAAAAAAAAAAAAACATACAAACATTTTGCATTTAAGATAAAAAATGTTTTTGTCAATCAATAAGCTCTACCCAGAGTTTTATTTTCACCTGGTTTAATTTCGTATAAAAAAAATCTTCTTTAAAGAACTTTTCGCTATCCGATTATTAATCAATGCATCGAAAAAAATAGACCCCACAGATTAATCGATTAGCAAAACAATCGTTAGTTGCAGCCCTAATTTTACCTCAAAATAACAGACTGAAAAATGTATAGTATGCTCTCAAATAGGTACCTTGACAACAATTTTTTTGGAGGTGATATTTAAAGTGATGTTTTCATCTGATGCTTTGGTTTAATTTTGATATATCAATAATAATAAAAAACACACAAAGAAAAATTTGTTTACTTTCCCATGTTCACAGCTTTTAAAATAATCATCAAGATAGAATAACTTTTTTTTTTTTTTTATCATTGTGTCACTGGAAATCCAACATTGATATCCTGTGTGATTTTTCTACATGGGACTCTTCAGAAATCAAACACAGCTGAAGGAAACTAAATATATCCTCCTAATGTTTAACCTTTTCTAGACCAGAATAAGTTTGAAAAAGTGCACAAAATACAGAAAACTATTGATCATCAAACAAACCCCCACTTGAAATCTAAAGAAACAGGTTCTGACATCTATTTGGGAGCAAAAAAAAAAAAGAGTTTAAATATTTGGTTGGTTTGTTGAACTGTTTGTGTTGTTGTGTTAAACCTCTTATGAATCAATACTTTGCAGAACCACTTGTTGCATGTACTAGTCTGTCTCTACCAACTTTGGATATTAAGAGTTATCCTGCCCAAATTTATTTGGAAAATAGCTTAAGATTGGTTAGACTGGATGGAGAAAGTCCCTCTTTACACATTTTCTGATTCTGCCAATAATTATCATAGTTTAGGTCTCAAATGGCTGCCCTTCAAAAGAAGGGTGATCACACTGGATTCTATTAAGGGGTCACAAATGTGACAAAATTTCTAAATGTTTCAAGTTATTATTTTTGAGAAGCATATGTAGCAAATAGTACAGGAAAGGGATAATTTCAGCTGGGCTTTTGTTGCAGCTTCACCATGAATGGAAGACATTTCATAAAAGAGGTACCTAAATATAACTCTGTGTGGCTGCTGCTGTTGAGTCACTGCTGACAATATATTTTTTCATCATATTGTTAAGATTGTTTGCTAAGGTTAATTGTAACTTTTCTTGCCCTGCTACTCTTCACATAAAACTCTATAATAAAGTTATTTTGGGGGTTCAAAGTCAGATGGAAAAACGGGTATCATGAGACTGAGCCACACAATAAAGGGCAGTTGAGTAAATACAATATTTTAGAGTCTTTTTCAGGGTAAGTCAACCGTGCTTTGATATGCTGTCCATGTATTTATTTTCTTTTTAGGTTGGGCTCTCAAATCCAAAACTTCATTCAGTAGAAACTCCCCAGTGTTTCTTTTGGGGAAGTGTTATCATTTTAAAGCAGAAGGTAAGATACACAATATCATCAAAGCGATATCATGATTTCTATGAGGTACAAACTAACAAATAAACTGCATTTCCTAACTTCAATTGAAACATAGCTTTAATCATAGAAAAAAAAGCCCTTAAACTAAATGTGAAAATTTGCAGGAAATGAATAAAAGTTCAGCTCCTCCCGGCCACTAGGTGGCGTATTTGTATTTGCCTGCGTTTGTTGCCAGGTTTTTCATTAAATCCCTGCCCAGAGGGAAAGTCGAAAAACTCAGCTCACTCAATAGCTGGACCAACGTTCATCTTTGTTTCACTTTTTTTCATTTTTTTTTTTAACCTTAAATCTAAAATTTGTGACACTAAGGAGAAGCCATTCCTCAGTTCTGTCAGAGAGCAACTAGGATCTGGCAAAATCTCATGTGACTTTAGCTACTAATCCTTTTTGGTGCAGAATCCATTCATGTAAAGTTTACCATCCTAACCAAAAGTAAACATTTATATATTTTGCAGCCTTTATGGTGCGTTCAGACCAGTGCGGTGTCCGCCGTGATTACTGCGATTCCCAGCAGACGTCAGTGCTGCGCTGTTTCCTGATATTAAGTTTTGCATAAAGTAACATGTCATTCCTGTGCTGGCATGAGATATAACAGTGGGCATGTTTACCTTATTTAGTGGCTTGATTAATTGTTTAATATTTAGTAAATCACCGGCCTCCTAGGCCTTTCTATTTGGACCCGCCGTTACCCCTTGACAACCCCATGTCATTCTGTCGGCATTTTACAATAAAAGCAAAGGTAGAAACTTAAAATCACAGACTAACGCTAAATTGTTCCTTTTGAGTCTTCTTCAGGAGGCCATAATTTTTTGGAAAAGCCCCAAAAGCTCTGGAAAAAAAAAAAGTCATCCAGGTTCATCCAGAGCTGCATCTGGAAAACGTTTGGAATCTGCAGGGCTTCCTTGTAAATCTACCCCCTCAGAAAGCACCATGCTGGGCAGGGTGCAGTGACAGACTGGGCTCTGTGCTGGAGGGGAAATGAGGAAGGGCGCTGCTTCTAGGACTAAATTGAAATGGCTTTTTTTTTTTTTTTATGGCCACCTAAAGACCTCTTCAGAGCATTCCTTATTTCTACCCTTTTTAACAATATTTTCTCTGTATTCCATTTATGTAAAAAAGCTTAACCTACAACCAGTCCCTGATTGGCTGCCGTGTCGCGGTTTCATAGAAAAGTTCAGCTCTTTCAACTTCGATCTTCCCTCCTCTCTCTCTAAGCGGTGCTGCTGTTTGATACCTCTGCTCTAGTAGCATGAGGTTAGAGCGGAGCAGTGGCAATCTCACTTCGTGGAGTTCATAGGGTTTGTATAGGGATTGTATTTATAGGTATTCTATGTGAATCTACCGAACTAGCCGTGTCACCACGTCCATACGGAAAGAATCATTAAAATTTATAGAACAATTATTTATATACTATAGATGTCTATTTAGTAACACTGATCATTTTATTCTCCAGCACTTTAGGCTTTCTGTTGATGTATTATTTTTGAAAAATTGTTTTTTGATGAAAAAGCTCTAGTTGTGACCTTTTGAATTTATTCTATTAAAAAGGAAGAGAATAAATGTAACAAGGTCTGCTTAAAACATAAAAACGATCTTTTTATGATTTTTTTTCTTCCCCCAGATGAAGACTGTCCCTCTAAAGACTGCCATGAAGGCTCTGATGAGGACTTTGTTATGGGGAACGTTGAGGCTTTCAGAAGGGACTTTGCATCTCGTGTATGGCTGACGTACCGGGAAGATTTCCCTCCACTGCCAGGCAGCACGCTGACCTCGGACTGTGGCTGGGGCTGCATGCTCAGGGCTGGACAGATGATGCTGGCCCAAGCTCTAGTTCTGCACTTGTTAGGCAGAGGTAAGCAGAGGAATTCAATTTTATCATTTTTTAAAGCAACACAATTTAGCTTGTATTGGTTGCTTTCACTGTTTTAGGTGATAAACTAGCGAATGTATGACATTATGACACAGTCACTGTAAAGATGTGATTTTTAAGCCATGTATTAGCATGCCTTTCTATTGTATAGTGGATCCCAAAGCTTTCTTGGGTGGGTCTTTGATTTAAAATTATGTCTTCTCAGCCCCTTCATATCAATCTTGACAGTTAAACAAAAAGTTCTACTACACTACAGTAAAATATAATGCGATAAAATAAACAAAATCTCACAGATAAACTCCTTTGAAGTGTAAATATTTCAAGTTTAGATTTTGTTTTACTATGTAACAAAATTGGTCATTTATTTAGTTAACTTCTGCAATGACACTAAGCCCCTCTAGGGGGAGCTCTCCCCCGACTTGGAAAGCACTCCTTTAGTAAATTAAATTTTACTTGTTTGACACCTCTGTTTTTTTTCTATTAAATAATATTTTTTTTTTTAATTAGGAAAGCACACTGATTGATGTCTACATTTACATTCTCATCTGTTTCAACCAACAGTTAATTTGATTAATTTTTGTGACACAAAAATAACCAAGAAGCTAAATTGTGTTCTTCAAAATATACAGAACAATGTGAAGCAACTGCCTGCTATTCATGTTTTCTGTAGTGTAAACAGAAACAGGACTTGTTATAGTAGTGTCAACCTCATACTGAAAGCTGGAGCTAGGATAAACACATTTCACCTCTTAAAGCTAATTTTTAGGCCCCATTGTTTTTAGTTGAGGTAGAATACATTAGGTGTTTTTGTAAACTACCTGAAGGGTTAAGCAAATTGCAATTTTAGCCCTTACAGGATGACCTATTTTTATAGGCACCATAATTAAGTCTTTAAATTTAAGTGAGAGAGTTGGAATAGAAAACTCTGAATCTCTTTGTAAAATGTCTTTGCAAATAACACTTTGATGCATTTACATTTTTACACTATAGTGAAAAATAAAAACTCTTTCTGCAGGCCATTTACCATTTGTATAATAACTTTTTATATACTTTGTTTTTAAAATAAATGTTTCTATTGTTTTTTCCATTTTTGCATGCTTCCTACTCATCATACTAAATTTCCTTATCAGTTAAAGATGAGCAGATTGAAAGCAAAATTAGGTTTTACTCCAAACCAACTTTCAGTTGGTTTGGAGTAAAACTTTTAGTTCAAAGTTTTATAGCTGATAGCACCACAATTTACAATGAAAAATAATCAATAATGAAATAATAAAGGCACTCTGATTCAACCTGAACTACCAGAAACAATTTGACCACAAACCTATTTTAACCTGCATATTAAGGCATGGTTGTTTACATTTTATATATCACAGAGCTGCTGTTATAAGCTTCTCCAAGGAATATTCTGTGTCTCAAAGGGATAATTTAACCCATCTAAAAATTGGGTGTCAATGAATATAGAAATTGAATAGCGGGATAAAGGGTGAAAGGGATTTAATCCTAGTTCATGTTAAATCAGTCTAACTGGGAAACCACTTGTGTAAAATACTTTGTCCACATGATTTCTTAAGTCTCAGGCTAATGGGGTAATTTAAAAACTTTTTCAAGATCGTCAAAAATCTGTCACCAGTGAAATATTTCCCTATAAAGACACAAAAGTCCACTTTAGGAAATTTATGGATTAATTTTGAATTTGATTCACTTTGAAACAAGGTCATTTTCTTACTGCTTTTGACTTTATTCTAGGTTTATTTTTTATTACTTTGGCTTCTTCCATCCACTCTGCCTCCAGAGTCCGTTCCCACCCTGTTTGTAAGGCTAAGATAGTGTAAAAATGAAATACACACTCAAACTGATAATTGAGCCAAGTTATGGCTGTTTCTGAAATGAACTGAATTAAGACCCGTATGAGTTTGTATTTAAAACCCTCTAAAACTGAGGTTAGTAGTGTGTAATGATTAGGTTTATTGGTGCCTGTAGAATGAATATTTATGACTATGAAATTAGAACAAATGCTTAAATGGAAATGAAAGTGAGATTTCCCTCTATTTTTGATCCATCTAATCCATGCTGTCATGTTAAGATGTTTTTTGTTTTTCCCACTAATGTGAGGTTTAGGTGTAGCTCCTCTAAATGCCAGCTTTTATACTGCCTGCCTGCTTTATCAGTTAGGATCATGAAAGTTTTACCCCCAGACTATTTTTACTGTATAAAGATGGGACTCTATAATAAAAAATATACCCACCGTTTAAAGTGCATTTATTTAAGGTGCAGGTTAGTATTTTTCCTTTTTTTTTTTTTTTTTTACATAATAAAATTAAACTGATAAGGCTTAGTATAGATTTTTGGCAAAACAAAATGCAATTTGTATTTTTAAAAATAATATGAGCGCCTCCGGTATTTTCCTTCTTTTTACTTGAACTAATTATTTTAACCCAGTAACCAGCTACCTTTTGGAGTCATCTGACCCAACCCTATATATTTTTCTGCAGACTGGACTTGGTCGGAGGCGCTGACACTGCAGCCTTTAGATGCAGAGACACGCACCACCACAGCTGCCAAGCGTCTCGTCGCCACCCTGGAGGCTTCACTGCAAGGGACTCCAAAGAGTTCTGAGAGCGGACCCACTTTTGTGCCTCAAGCCCAGGCATCTGGATCGGCAGAGGAAGCAGATGCACATTTAAAGGAGATGTACCACCGAAACCTGGTGTCCTGGTTTGGGGAGGGCTCCTCAGCTCCGCTGGGGCTGCACAGACTGGTTCACTTAGGATTGACGATGGGAAAACAGGCAGGGGACTGGTACGGTCCGGCTGTGGTGGCACACATCTTTAAGTAAGGATTCAATAAATTCGATCGTGATTAAGCAGTTATTTTATTTCAGTAACAAAATCTACAAAGTCAAACACATTATACAGACATATTTCACCCTTTATGATATTTCAAACCCTTTATATTATCTGGTAAAAGCTGATAAAAATGACATTAAGATGATAATATTACATTATACCAATAAAAAGCGTTTGTGTTTTTTAAATTAATGTTGAATACTTGCCTAAAAGTTTAAATTTTTTTTGCTTTATATTACTAGATGTAAATCTTTTCGTTATTTATGTTTTAGACAAAGAAGCCTCAATTTAAAACATATTTTCTAGAATTTCTTTCTCCCCAATATTTGTTTGTATTGGTATTTTAACCAGTACTATAAGTGACGTATTTGGGCATCTTTAAAGTACTCCTTAAAATTTAAAAGAACTATTCCTACTATTTCTTTTTGGAAGTTGTAATGTAGTATACATTATTCTTGGTTGTTTTTCTTCCCATAAAATAAATCTCGATATAAATTTATCCCAATTTACAGAACTGGTTTTGAAGAATATTTACTGGGAAGGACAAAATTAAATCCAACAAATATGGTGGTATTTTCACTGTTATACTTATTCTTTAAGTTTAATCCGTAAAGGATAGGTCCACCTTTTTTCAATGTCTGTCAGCATATTAACTTCTATGCATTCATAATTGTTTTGGTATAATTTTCTTTTTTTTGTTTTCATATATTCACTCCGAACTAATTAAGGAATTTTGATTCCCACTTTTTTACCATTCCTTCCGATCTTCATTTGTTTATATTTATTTTATAGTCAGAACACAGAACAAATCTTTCATATTGGAAAGCATAATTCAAATTCAAACACTGTACGAAGCACAGGCTATAATTTTCTATAAGTAGCTTTTAAATGGCTTCCATTTTAGAAGTGCAAAAATGTTCTATTTTAACATTCATACAGTTTAATTGACTTTTGATTAAATGTTGTAAAAATCTTGAGTTTTCTCCAGCAATATGATGCATGGCATAAGAGTATAAAACCATTTTTTAAATTTAAATATTTCAATTGAAACCTAAAATAAAAAAATGCATTTTATAAATCTAACTGTTGAATAATATTTTCATTAGAAAATAAAATCAAGACTTAAGAGAGACCGTTACATCAGCCGGCTGATATTTTTGATTAGCATTTTCTTTTCTTGTATCGGTATCGGCTGATTGTGTGCATGTGTTCACCGATTCAGTAGTGCATTTAGAAGTCGTACCTTGAAATCAAGTAAGACACATTCTTTGGCATTCCTTTCATTTGCTGTTGATTGTCAGTTATCTCTGCCAAGGAGGTTATGATTTTAGGAGAATCTGTCTGTCTACAGAATAACAAAAGTTATGGACGTATTTTAATGATTTTTTCAGAGATGTTCGTCATGCCAAGGAACAATTTTGGTGATGATCCACATTATATTCTAGATACAGGAATGTTTTAAAATATTCTCTAATATTGTGAAATAGGGATATTTGGTAGAACAAGCAGTACCCATCTTAACCAGAGGGTGGCAGCAGTGAGTATTGACAGCCTCTGCATCAGATTCAAGAAGTCCTGGCGTACTTTACTAAAGACAAAAGCCAGAAAAAGACCAGGAAAAGGGAATATTGTAGCCTGACGTAGTCCGACTCAATTCTAGTCAGAATATGAGTCTGATACTGCTCCATAGAGCTGTGATTATGGGGCGTGTTTTGAACGAACCAGGAAAAAAAATGCCTCTGCACTCAATTGGATAGACCTACAACCAATAAGAGCAACGGAGTGCGTGACAGTGTTGTGCCTGAACGCGTTCATTGAACGAAAGTTCATGAACTCGTTCATATTTTGGGCGAACGTGAACTGAACGTACTGCATTATTGCCTGATGAACGTTTTTGTGAACTCGTTCATTCTGGCGTCTGTGAACGACACGCTCTATCAGTTCAACTCCGTTCAATAGGTTGCCAGATTTCTATAAAGCCCTCCAGGCGAAACCCCGGCTAAATCACACCGTAAACAGGCCTTAATATGTAGCGGGAAAAACACCCAATCTGGCAACAGCAGCTTTCAGCGTCGTAGCCTACAACCGCGTGCGTCATCAAAACAAAATGCAGCGTTGAAGCCATAGCAGCATGTAGGCTACCGTGGAGGCGACAAAGCAGCAGTATGATCACTTAAAACAGGTTTATGACCAGGTGGTCGGTGAGCTTTCAGTAAAAAAATCCGCACTTCAGTAACCTTAAATTCCTACCTCAGCCTGGTCCCTCAGTTTGTGTTAGTAAAATCTTCTTGAGTGGAGGTCTTCAACAGGGGATCCGCGACCCCTAGGGGGTCTACGGAGGTACTGCATGAGGGTCTGCATGGTTAGTTGATATTTTTATATTCCCCCCCCCTGCATTTTTTTCCCCCACTAATTGAAATGTCTTAAAATACACATTAACATGAAATCAACACACTGTAGTAAACAGATAAATGGAGGCAGAAGATGTCTTTCAGTCATCAATGCTCACATTCAGCGACACACAGGAGCTCTTTCAAGCTGGGCACCGTTTCCTTCACAACACCTGTCCCATCAACCAGGAATCAGAATCAGAAAAACTTTAATAATCCCAGGGAGAAATTAATTTCTTTACATTACTCCATCTGTAATAGAGTGACTATAGGACACAATTTCATACAATATATATAAATAGGGGGTCCCTGCTCCATCTCGCCATCAGTTTGGGGGTCCTTGGTCTGGAAAAGAAGACCCCTGTTCTTGAGGGTTTTACTATCCATGTAACTTGTTTGTTAAACCTGCCTGGTATAATTTTCCAGTATTCCTTTTTAGTATGTATTGAAATGGAATTTCAAATGGAAAAAATTATAAAAAAAAAAAAAAAAACATTTGCACCTTAAAGACTACTTTCCTATTTTTCTTTTAATAATTACTCATAAAAAAGACCATTCAAGCAGCACATTTTTCCTGATGTTTTTGAGAATATACTGTAGGGGTGAAAGCTGCAGCTGCTACTAGTGTGAAGTGAATGGACAGCAACAAAGCGTTAAAGCAACAATGGGGAAATGCTGTCCCCTCAATGCTAATGTAAACCCTGGTTGGATAAGGATTCAAAACTGGATATGAAGATGAAATCTGACGCACAGTTTCAGAGTTACAACTGATAAAATAATTGCTGTCTGTGGTTCTACAGTAGGCTATGGTGTAATTGAGCAATATATGAAAAAAAAAAAAAAGAACTATGAACTAGTTCGTTTTTTGGAATTGTGAACTATGAACTGAACTAGTTCATTTTAAAATGTGTGAACTGAACTTTGAACTAGTTCACGTAGAAAGAGAACTTTCCCAACACTGGTGCGTGACGTATCTTAAGCGAGGCATAGTTGTTGTCCACAAAAATCAAAGCGTGCAGTTTCACGCCTAGAATAAGAAGATGAGACTTGATCGCGTTTCTCTGTTCCTCTTTTAAAATTAATTTGCTGTCGATATCTTCTAGAACAGACCTAATATCAGAATCTACTCACCCAAACTCTCCAGCGGCAGCCATTGTTGTTGTCACCCAAGCGCGCTTTGGTCACGTGGTTGATAAAGTTACTCTTGATCATCTGTCCATCATCGTATAAAGCCCGCCCTGACAATTTGATTGGATCGCCTGACAGTGGGCTTTAATACTCGCGCTACTATGGAGCAGAGCCAGACCGAACTTCCCCGACCTCAAACCTTGTGGGCGGGACTAAGTTCGGACTGGCACCCAGGCTAGGAATATTGCTCTGTTTTTTGTTTTTTTGCTTTGTTGTTGTTTTTTTTTTTTTTTTTTTTGCTTTGTTTTTTTTTTTTTTTAAGCAGGATCAAGTGAAAACATATGAGCAGGTTTTTTTTGGAAATTGTTTACCAGAGGTCAACCTCATGCCAAGGAAAAAGTCATTTAAATTTTGTACATTGGTACTGCCAGATTGTGATTAGCGATAGGTGTAGATCACTATTTTGGGCAAAATTTGCTGCCTGGTGGAAATTTGTGTTCTCTGAATGCTTTTCTAGCATCAAGTGTTATGTGATAATAAATATTTATATTTGTTTAAATTGAGACTTATGTAACATTTGTTATAATTGTCATTTTCAATCATGTAAGTGGAGGAATAAAATATGATACTGGTCATAAAAAAAAAAAAAAAACATTAGCATTTGATCTTAACCAATATACATTTGTCCGACAACAAATCCGGCTCCTTTTTTTTTTACGTTTCATAAATCCAGAACCAGGTGTATTGTTTTCAAAAATGTATCAAAATCTTCCCAAATCCAAATTAATATTCCCTTTTCTTTAAGTTAAACGTATGTTATAGCATAACCTTTTAAACAAGCCTTTTTACCTGCAGTTTCTCTTGTTTCTTACTCTGTTCTTTCTCCTTTTCCTGTCTTTTTGTTTTAGGAAAGCTGTCAAGGAAGCAACGGACCCTGGCTTGGCGGGTATAACTGCCTACGTTTCCCAGGACTGCACAGGTATAAAAGATGATCCTGCTGTTGATTGTGCAGGAAACTGGGCATGACGCCCAAGTCGCCTGCTCTTTTATGCCTCCATCCTTCTCCTTCTGTAAGCCTCCAGAAGCTAAAAGCGGGGGACAGGAGTCTGTGTCTGTTCCCAAAAACAATCACATCCATTTCAGATCTATAACATGCCGTCCAGACCTCCTCCTAACCTCGATATCTCATCCCATGATTTATGTTTGTCTTTTCAATAGCAGAAGAGGGCAGTTTGTTGGCGTGTCTGTAGCTTCTAGTGTAAGTGTGTATAGTTAATCGCACTGGGGAAAAATTAAAGTTTTTTCATTCATTTAAGTCAGTCAGCATTTATAAATTGGTTATACTATTTAATAACTGTAAGAAAATGCTTCAGTAAAAAGGGCATTTCAGGATTTTCTTTTTGTTTTTACCTTTATAAATGATCCAATCCAACTTTACTTATATGGCACTTTAAAACAGACAACAGGATCAGAGCGCTGCACATAAGAAGGAATTCTAACACCATTCAACGCACTGGAATTAATACAAGCAATATGCTAAAAAAGGAAATAAAAAACAAAAAATAAAGGAGGAAATATAAAATCAACCAACAGCAACATCCTTTGAGTATTAAACACCAGAGACTGCCTGGGGGAATATGCAGCGGCAAATCATTCCAGAATGTGTGTATTAATTAAATTAATACACATGTTTCTATTGTTTAAGGATGATACACGTTTTATCACTACACAGCGACTAATTTTTTTTTTTTCTGTCTAGTGTACAGTTTTGATGTCATGGACTGCCACAAAGCACCAAGAGCAGGAGAAACCTCTGACGCGACACCAGAGAAGCCTCCACCATCACTGCCCACACTGCCGGAGGACCGGGCCGTCATCATCCTCGTCCCTGTGAGGCTGGGTGGAGAAAGGACAAACCCAGAATATTTTGACTTTGTAAAGGTGAGACATACTTTTGTTTCTGTACTTTATTTTGATTTGGGATTTTTTTTCAAGATCCCTGAGACTTCTCAAGTTAAATACAATAATAATAATAATGATAATGTATTTTATGTATAAAACCCTTTGCATTTGATCATTAGATTGTATGTTTTTTATAATTTTGTTTTATTTCATTGATGACAAACCACTGTGGCTGATATTGAATCTCCTGTTTGTACAGCTCTGACCATTTGACACCATTTCAGGACAATTTTAAGTTGCCACCTTTAGCATAATATAGTGTTATAGCGGTTTGTTTGGAGGATGAGCCGATGTTTTCCAATATAATGCTGCAGCTCGGTTTGCATGTGTGCGGTTGAAGTGATGTGATATCTGCTTTTCTAACACAGTGGTATATATGGATATGAGACAAAAACACAACTGCATTGTGATTTTACCAGTTCATTATAAAAATGTATGTCATTCTTAAATTTTTAGAGATGACAAAGATTTTTTTCAGTTTGCTTCAATCTAATGGGATTGTTAATTGCTTTATGTTTTACTATGGATGAGTGTATCGTTACTCCACTAATTAGTAGCAGAGGTGATCTAACAGCTCATCAATGTGAAACAGGACTTTTTTTTTTTTTACTAAATAAATGTATCATAGGGAGCAAATCCTGAGAAACTGGAGGCAGTGGAGTTGGCAAGACTTAAAACTAAAATCAGAAAAAAGATAATTTTGATTAAATGTTAACTGCATTCAACATCCAAATCACAGGTCTGAAAGGAATAACAATTGCAAATTACAAAAAGGAAAAAAAAGACAAATTCTGTCATTTTTTACTTGAACATTATCCGAAATTTGAATATTTCCATCGTTTTCTGAAGAATGTGTTATAAAAAAAAAAAAAAAAATTCTTCCCCAATACTTGCATAGAAAAAAAAAAGGTGCAAAGCTCTTAGATTACAGTACAGTACGTTAATGCAATGAAACTTTCCTTTTCAGACTCTGGTTCAAAGTCTATTCTCCCTCTTTAGAACCCATATACTTTCTGACCGAATGATAAGGGATCTTAGTTTTTATTTTATTAGCAACTATGATTGTGATCTGTTAAGATTTCAAGTTTTTAATTGGTTTCTGTAACGTCATACTATCTGTTATTTTAAACCTTTTAAATCTCGTAAGAATCTACACGCTGAACTTTAATCCAAACTTTTAAGAAAAGCTTCAAACTTTTTGAAATCAAAAATGTTCCACTGATTGATAGAAGCAAGTTGAATGTTTAAAAAGATGAGCTGATGTATTCTTTAGTAGGCTAATGAACAATGTCTTTCAAAATTCTGTTTTAAATACATCCTCTAAAGCCTTTTGGGCTTTCTGTGACTCTGATGTCAAAATTAGTTAACTTGGAGTCTAGTTCACTTGGGAACAACTTCAAAATAGAAAAAGAAGTGTTGTTGCTTGCATCAGTTGTTAGCTCTTAGGTGCATTTATTCAGCAGAAATAACAATGATAAAAGTTATTTATATTTAATCATATTAATTTTGGACTCTTAATATATTAAGTTTCTATTATTAGTCTGATCCAGTCCAACTGAAGAGAAGCTATTTGTTGTTAGCTGCCAACCCACAGGTTGTTTTATAAATTTAGTTTCTGTTGTTCAAGTAAAAGATGATGCAGGAGCTTATCTTATCCACGGCTGCATCGTGTAGCAGTGGGTAGTGCTGCTGCCTTGCAGTAAGAGGGTTCTGGGTTCGATTCCAGGCCCGGGATCTTTCTGCATGGAGTTTGCATGTCCTCCTGTAGGCTTCCTCCTACAGTCCAAACACTTGACTTAATTAGCTTCTCTAAATTGTACTTGGGTATGAGTGTGTGTGCATGGTTGTGTGTATTTGTGTTTCTCTGTGTTACCCTGTGACAGACTGGCGATATGTCCAGGGTGTGCAACCTGTCCACCGCAACCCTGACAAGGATTAAGCAGAAGAAAATGGATGGATACTTGCCTTTTATTACGTAAAAAAACAAACAATGTCATTTCAGCTCTGACACACTTTGTGTTTCTCTGCTTATAGAGCATACTGAGTCTGGAGTACTGCATAGGAATCATTGGTGGGAAGCCCAAGCAGGCCTGCTACTTTGTTGGATTTCAAGGTTAGTACCAGTATAATGGAAAACCAAGGAATACTTATTCCTATAGAGGTTGGTGTGAATAACAATTTATTTTTTGCATAATATACCCTTTGTATGTGTAGAGACAAAGTAAGTTAATGAATTCATGTTTGTATGAGGAAAACGAAGAGGAGTGGAGATGAAACCGAGTGAAGCGGCGCTTACTTTATTCTCTCTGACCCATCAAAACCTCGTCCATTTATCACAAGTAAACCTCCCAAGTTGTAAACCATAATTGATTTCCATAGGCGGCATGCATTAAATTTCATCCGGGGCGCCCAAAGTGAGCCACTCTTCATCACCTTCAGCAGCTAGGAGAAACCTTCAGTTGTACATCTTGGCAGTCAATATTTACGCATTTACATTTTACCCATATGAAATACAGCGTTGGATGATGTCTAAATGACAAGCAATACATTCTCCCTGCCAGGGCTCAGCTCAGCACTGCATTCATCATATGCAAAACGGTCGAATATAATTGCGTGTTTGTAAAAGTAATTCGCCCACACAAAAATTAAACGACAACCTCTTTTCTCGAGGGTATAAAAAATGTGCTTGTACAAACTCATCTGATTATGCAGAATTTAATCCACCCTGGTGGATATTAAAAAGCAACAACCTTCTTGAAAGCATATTTAGCTCACACAACCCCAACAGTAGGTCCGGCGGGTGACTTTGAGCTGCTCTGCATAGATATTGAGAAAAGGCCTGTTTTTTTTTTCTCTCCTTCTCTTTAATAATCTGATGTTTTTGAATAACTTGTCTTTTGTTTTGTCCTTGCAGATGACAGCTTGATTTACATGGACCCTCATTACTGTCAGTCTTTTGTGAATGTCAGCACCAGCGATTTCCCTCTCCAGGTAACGTAAAATTACACAGTTGAGCTGACTTAGGGATCCAGTAAATGTGGGTTTAATAGTTTCTGTTAGCACTTAAGGGTGTGAATATTAAAGCAGCGCTCAGTCCAATCATAGTCTGTATTTCCTGATTTATTTGCTGCTCAGACAAGCAAAGCTGCCACCTTAGAGAAATACTGCAAACGCATTCGCTAGCAGACTTAATATCTCAAGATATATAAGCACTGTACCGATGTATCCCTATAAATTCAAAGCATTACAAATCGAACCTTTCTTTTATTTTATTTGAAGAAAGGGGACTCATGTTACAGATTTATCAAGGTATGAAACAATTATTTGGATTAATAGATTATTGAAATGATAATCCATTAATTTAGAAATCGATTAATTGTTAATGGGAGTATAGATGCTGAGTTTGAATTCAGCAGCTTCATCCTGGCTGATTATATAATAGCACGGCGCCAAGATCTGTTCTGATTGGAAGACTCCTCGTTATGTGGCAGACAAATTGATCCTTCTTTGTACCCGTTTTGAAGGACGGGTCCGGTGTATATCCTACGTAGCCTTGGGTATTCCGTGATTCATTGCGAGTCCAAGCAAGCTGGCTGCTCTGTGCTCTTAGGAAAAAGAGAAATGTTGACAAAAAATTATGAATATTGTTAGTGCAGTTTAATAAAATACAAGTATGTGAATAGTTCAGTCTGAAATTAATGAAAATAGTTGTTTTAAATGGTTATTGAGTCAAATGTTTTGGATAATGTTTGGTTTATTGAAATGTTTTTATTTTTCACTGTGTGAATGGGTTTGGCTGACATTTAAGGACCGATTCTAATATATCTGCTGTGTAGAGGCCTATAAATCTGATGTTAGTGACGACGGTACTGCTGTTAAAGCTCCTCAAAAATTTATTTAGCATCCAAAACAGTAGTGAGAAGTTGCATCCTTCTTTGTCTGCTTTATTTGTCAACTGTCAGCCGGAGAAGGCTGGACCTGTTTGAATCCATAGCCGAACTCTTCCCTACTCCTTGTTTTCATGGACCTGGAAGGATCCAATCTAGATAGACCAGGTCCTTGGAGGATCCAGCCTCTGAATTCGAACACACACACTGACTCCAAAGCATGCTGACAGAGCAATTTACTTAGAGCAGTAATTATACCCCAAAAAAAGAAATCTACAAATGTTTTGCAATTGAGATAAAAAAAAAAATAAAAAAAAAATTCATCTGTTTTAGTTTCACCTGGTTTAATTCTATAAAAAAACTTCTTTAATGGACCTTTTGCTATTTGATTATTAACAAAAAAAACAATCGATTAGTCGGAACCCCAGACTTATCAGACCCAGAGCGATACATTTAAAGTGTTTATTTCTGCTGATTATGGCTTTAGCTTATAAGATGCAGAACCATCAGAAAAGTTTTTATATTGTTTAAAATAATTTAAAAGGTTTCTTTGAAGAGAAATGGTGGCCTTCTGAAATGATATCCAGTAGCAGCTTGACAAAAGCTACTGCTATACTCATCCTGGCATGGAGATGATGAGTTTGTGGCTCCACTGAGGTGTTCAGACAACTTAGGATGTTTTAACTTTGGCCTTCTGCTCTTCTACATTGTTTGGCCTGTTGCTGATCATCTTCAGCTAACAACGCTCCAAAGACTCTCTAAGACAATCTTCCAGACTATAAATCTCTAAAACCAGTATACCAACAGACTTTCCATACCATCATTGACTGGAAACTAGACAGTGTACACTTAAGGAAATTAGTGCCTCTCCACTTTCCTCCAGACTGGAGGGCATCGGTTCCCTCAATAAAATGCAAAACCAAAGTCTAACTTAAAAGATGACTTTGGAGCACTTCTGAAAATCTATTCCTCTTTCTACTTGGCTAATGTGAGATTGATCTAACCTTGTCATTAGATCAGGATTGGCTTAACTCGAGTGATGTGGGAGTTGTAGCCCATTTCCTGTGTGTAATATCTCTGAAGCACTGACTTTCGCTGTGGTTCATTCCATCTAAATTTCCTTATTATCTTCAATTCTTACTCTTAGGGATGCAGTGGTTATGCCTGTTGCCTATTCTTTTTTACCACACCTTTTGCTGCTGAGCAGCCAGCTCCTTTAGTGGATTCCTTTTGTGGGACTAATACCACTTCAGTTGTTTTTCCCATGTTTATATTGACCATACAATGTTTGCTTTTTCATTTTCCTTTATTGTTTCATTCATATTCTGCGATGTTGGATGTTTTTTTTTAATAAGTATTGAGCTATAATCATAAAATGGTGCATAAATAAATATGAAATATATCCCTCTGGGAGAATGATTTACTATTCAGTGAAATTCCATTCAGTAAATATTGGTTGAATAGTGGAAGAACTAAGAATAAATGATAAAAATTGCCTTTTACTTATTGTTAACTTTGTACTAGAGTAAATAATTGCTGTTTCATGTTGATGAGTATCCCAGGACTTAAATATATATTGTTATTTATTGTTTTTGTTTTATTTTCAGTCCTTTCATTGCCCCTCTCCAAAAAAGATTCCTTTCAGCAAACTGGATCCCAGCTGCACTATTGGTTTCTACTCTAGAAGTTCTCAAGAATATGAGAGAATCAAGGTGGAGCTGTCCAAGGTAAGGACCTGAAAACCTATATATCATTTAACGGTTGAAGGGATTCTCTTGCTAATTTTCCAGGTTTGGTTTATTTTGAATCACCTATACAGTAATTTCCCCATGTGGCACATATTTGTTCAGCCTCGCATTATTTGACCAGTAGGTGGCAGCATTTAGCCACGGATCTAACTTAACTGTTATCCGGTCAATACAGCTGTTTTCAAAGCACCCTCTCTACTTATGTCTCTCAGTTTGACCTTAACCTACACATTTTTTCTATGCAATGGATACAATTAAAATTTAGAATTCATCCTAAAAACTGAAACTATATCTAAAAGTTGTTTCCCTGTTTTTGTCCCAGTTGCTGCAGCCCTCACTGAAGGAGAAATACCCAGCGTTCACTTTCGTGGAAGGTCGCAGCGCAGATTACGACCTGTCGGCCGGCCTGAACACGGAGAGGCGGGAATGGCCTTTCATTCGGGACACGCGCAGAACCGTCACCACAGCTGGAGACTTTGTGCTGCTTTGAAAGCCCGGTTTGATGGTTCAACGAATCTTCTCTCATAACGATTCTAATTGCTTAAATTCATGGCATCATGCAGTGCATTCATGACAGTGTTAGGATTCAGTAGTTTACTGACTCAGTTTTCACATCCCAGAAACATTAATCCTAAACAAAACAGATTTGGTCTGGCAATAAGAGCACTGGATTATTTGTGGAAAGTTATTTAACATTATGTGTTGATCTACTGAATCTAAATTCATAATATTAAGTATCTATTTTGTCGTCAACATATTCATGGGGGCTCAGAAAATTAACTCTACAGTTCATTATTATTATATAAATATGTTTTTCTTGTTGTTATAAATGAGACCCAATATGTTTATTTTGTTATTTGTTTTTGATGAAGGGTACTTTTAAAGAGATATTTGTATAAATATCACTAGGTCACAAACTTTCAAAACCAACAGTTTTACACAGTAGTGCCAGAAATAAGGGCTACAACATATATTTTTTAGACTTTCTATGATAAGCATCACTTCTATAAATAGTAAATCATAATGTACTAAACTAAAACAGTGGCACAGCTTGACTTGACGTCCTTAATTTGTTTTAATTTAACAAACAAAAACACTAAATTGTATCCAATGGCACTATCTTATTGGTCAAAGTCTAATGTGTGTTTGGTTGCAGACTATTTTTTTTTTTTTTTAAGAAAAATGTTCCAAAAGTTAAAACTTCCAATGAGAGTGAATAACCTGTACTCAGATTACAATATGGCCGCCTTACATTTAAAGCTCATACATTGCAATAGTGAAAAAAAATGGTTAACTAAGATGTGAATCTCATTAATAATTTTAAACTCAAAGCTTTGTAAAGTATGAAAAAAAAAACTTATTAGTATCTGATAATGCCATTACAAATTAATATGATGGCTAAGAAAAACACCTGATTTTAACACTGAAAATTTGAATATTTCAGGTTTATTAAACATGATTGTTGGGTTTGGTTTCATAACTTAATCCAATTTTCCAAACGGGCCAGGGCAATAACTGCTTAAATAACGTTTTTGTTATCATCTAGCAATAAACGCATAAAATATGCTTTATCGTGATCATTTTTCTAAGATGGCTTATTTGTGAAACCGACCCAGGCTTTAGAAACCACTGATCTAGATCACTGACCATATATTTTGCCTTAGATCAACTCCTTAAACATTACAGTTTTCCTTGTCTGAAGTAAAAAAGTTTTCTGCCCCTCATTTAAATGTTTAAATCCATGGCAGCCATGTTGGAGTTTTGCCTTTAGGATGTTTGGAATGTTTTCTACATCGCACTTAAAGATATAAACTTCTCATTAAAAATTACTTGTTGTGACATAATACAAAAATATTGCATTTAGCGCCACTGGTTTACATTCAGTACGAATTGTTTTTCAATTTTTTGGCCAAGGAAAACAAATTGGACAAATCCAAGCTGCATCACTGTTTTAGAATATGTTAGCGTGGAGGTAATTGTTAAAACTTGGTATTTACTAAATAAGGATGAACAAATATGTTTGCACCACAGTTTAAGAACCACCTAGAGCATTTAAAGCTTAGGAGCTACTAAAAGATCAAGAGTAACTTTTAAGGTTTCCTTGGACAGAAGGTTTCCTTAAACTAGATTATCCTCCGAAACAAATGAAGAAAAAAGCTGCACTCATTGAAGGCGGCTCTACACAATTCAACACAAAGTTAAATTGAATTACATTAGAGCCATTTCTTTCTTTTTAGCCATCATAAATCAAAGGCTTGTATCACACTGTACAGCACAAAGCACAATGTCCTGTGATCTCTTCCTAAATGGAATATTGTTGGCTTCTATTTATGAACAGCAGCATGAAACAAACACTTGAGTTAGAGTCGGGAAAATGTAATATAGACTGAGACACATTTAGTGTATGAAATTTATTATTTCTGTTTTACCTGCATTTAGAAGCACTGCTGTATATATATATTAATGTTGCAACGGTTCCTTAAAGCATTTCCACTCATTTTTTCTTAATTCAGTCATTAAATAATTGAAGTTCATTTATTGTGCAATAACTACAAATTAATCTACAGCTAACACGAAGTACTCAGTACCTCAGTGTATCTTTTGTTACGTGATAAACACTAAAGAATATTCTGAGGGTTTTTCTTTTCTTCATAAATAAACACTTTTGTTTGATAAATTGACTTCATAAATCACCAATAAGTTTGTTAAACACTTTGAGCCAGAGAGCTAAATAAAGTATTCTACTTGAATTAGTTTGCTTTCTTTCTGGTTGTTCTTGTTGGGGAATTCAAAGCCTCTCTGAATACAAGTAAAAAGAAAATGTAAAGTTTGCATCATTTTCAGGCATGCATGCAAGCCTGGTCGACGTGTTGAAATACATTCAATGCCTTTTCTCTCCCAGTCAAATGTGGAAGATTAAAACTAATCGTACGTGCTAACCATCTCTACAGCCCATTAACCAGGAACCGGAAAAAATGTGACCCGGTGACACTGGCAGCATTTGTGTTCCTCTGTGGAGGAAAAAAAAATATCCTTGTGTGCAAAGTCCTGATAATCTGTCTGGTGCTGTTTTCCTGTACAATGCAAATTCTTGTCTTATGATGAGCTTTTCTATTAAAAGGAGGGAAACGTCCCTTCTATGGAGGGGGAGATAGGGCAAGGGTGAGGATAGAGGGACCAACAGCTAAAGACTTCCTCGTTTGTTCTCACTCCAACACATAAAGACATGGTTTAGATCCGCCGCATTATCATTACTCCTTTTTTCTATTTTTTGACCTAGCAACAGACTTTGCAGATGGAGCAGGAACATTAAATATGCAAAACCAAAGCATCTACAGAGACATTCCTCTGCTTGGGAGATTGAAAGTGTTTTGTGGACAGGAGGGGACATAACACTGGGGATTTTTGTCCAAAATATGAAGGACCGTTTGTTCTCCAGGCCGCGGGGTGAACTGAGCATTGACTTTGTTCGCCGTGTATTTACAGAGATTTATGAATATTTGATTAATGAGTCACAGGAGCAAGAGTAATGCAATAAACAAGTGGTGGTTGAATAAAACAAGTCAACTGCAAGTATGTACTCTAATACGGTTCAAATTCCTAAGAGTCTAGTTTGGAGTGAGTCGAATTGCTGACAGAGGTCCACATGAGCCTTTGTCTGTTTCCAAGATGAATCTGTGAATAGGAAGATAAATGTTCTAGTTTGAGAGACTTTTACATTTTCTTTTTTTTTTTTCTTAAACAAAGCTTGGGTTAAAATGCATAACTTTATCATCATCAACATTGGCATTAGCAATCATTTTGCCTCTCTTCATACAGAACCTCCAAAGGTTCATTTTAGGTTAGTTTTTCTAAACAGCCACACCTGCATCTCAAAACACGCCTTGCAAGATAAACAGTTAATTCCTAATCTGATCATTCATTCAGAAGGAACAGTCTAACTTTTATTAGAGATTCACAGATTCAATATTAATATCTGTATCAATCAATGGGCCTCATACGTAAAGACAGACTTATTCTGTCTATTTGTAGAAACATCCAGAATTCAATTGAAGTTTAAGAATTTAATAGTCAGTTTGAACCTGTTTGAATTTGTTTTTAGAATGGAATTTACCCTCTTTACAGTGTTTTTTGTTTTGTTTTTGTGACTTCTGACCTTATTCTAATCTAAAGTTGCCTTTCACATATACATGTGTAAATTTTTTCCTATCATATTTGCTTGTATAAAGGTGTTTGTGACTGACTCTTAAGAAAAATTAACATTAATATGATAACATTAAATTAAAAAGAGCTCTGGTATCGAAAAATTTTCTGGATCTGCAGCAGTTTAAATTTAGGTATCCAAATCTGTTCTGAAGTTTAAAAAGTCAATTCATGCATCCTTAAATTTTATTAATGTTTATGCAAAATTAAAAAAGAAGGCAGACATGAAAGTTTATCCAATTGTATTGAGTCTTTCGGTTTGTAGCAGACACCTATATAGATGAAGCATATGAGGACTGTGGATAAGAATAACTTTCTACAGTGAAAAGGATCTTCAGCAGAACCTGGAACCATTCAGGAAAGGGACACAACTGAAAAACAGAAGCTGTGGGCCACAGAGCTGGGATGTAACTAGTTACAATTAATCCATTACATTACATTTAAGTAACGTTTTGAGGAAAAGGTGTTTTAAGGGATAATTTTTCTGCATCATGCTTTTTAATTTTATCTGAGTAAAAAGATAATGCGAAATCCTTTTTCTGACTCTGGTAAAATGTCTGGCTACTCTATGCATCATGAGTAGCTTTACTTAATGAAGAACAGGCTTGTTTTAAATAAAAAGCACCAGTGAAACGTACATGTCCAGTTAATGATGGTATTGCGCTGATACCGATACCAGTATCGGGCGGGCCTCCTATACAGCACTAAAATGGTATCGGCGAGTACCAACAAATAGGGCACCGATGCCATTTGAGAGCCAAAGTTTATTCATATATAGTCATTCTAGGTAGGCAATAAAAAGTTCTACTGGATTCACCTTGTATTAGTCTTTTTCCTTTTCCTTTTTCCAGATGGTCTCAGTATGGTATCGGTGTCGGTGACAAAAAAAAGGCAAAACACTAGTTAATGAGTGAGACTTTTTTTGTACTCAGCCTCTTTGTTTTAATATTACTTTCTATTTTATTTATTTATTTTATTCATTAATTGATTATAATAAAACAATATATTGATCCTGCCGTGTCACTTGTTTAATTGGAAATACAGCAAACATTTAGCTGCATCATGTTACACAAACTAACACACACAGTATCCTCCATCTGAAATTATTGTTTCCCTTCTGAATTTTATATTTTTTTTTTATCTCATTTTCCAAATATGCTGATTCATCTTTAGTTAATATACATCATTTTCAAAACATATCAGATGTGAGGATAATACCAAGTTTTTGAGTAGCCTTTTTCCCATTTACTCGAGTAATTTATTGGATGGATAATTTTTACTTTTAGTCAAGTAAAAATATTCTGAACTAGTGGCATTGTTAATTTAGTAAAAGTTTTGGGTACTCTACCCACCACTGCTGGAGCAGGTAAGTTTCTATGGGACACACAATAAAAAGAGTAAAAGCAAAGTGTAGCTTCATCCATGACTTAATCAAAAAAGAAGAATCAAAGGAAAGTGAAGGGGTTGAACAAAGAGTACTTTCTATGTTATCTATTTGCCTGTTTAAAGGTATAGCGGAGGATGTTCTCTTTCCAGGTGGATCATCAAAATAAGTGGTCCTCCTAACTGTCAATCATTCTGGTGATATGTTTACGTAAGGCCGTCCTACATCCTCGTCTCCTTTTTCACCTACCGGTGACGTGTCTGACCTAGTGGAAAAATGTGAAATCTTTTGGAAGGTAAGCTTGTATGAGCTATGCAAACAGCAACTTTTAAAGAGATCGTGTACGAGGAGAAATAGGCTCCTGCATACTCACGCGTTTAATAGGTGTTCCCTCTCGGGAGAGGGTTCAGGGTAGTGCATGTGCATTTTTTTTTTAAGTGGAGAGGGCGGGTCTTTTCAAAAATTTGCGAAAATCCTTCACTATAACTTTAAAGAAAAATGCTATATCCAGGAAAGGCAAGCAGCTTAGTACAGAAGCTTTTAGCAATGTTCACTATCTAAGGAGATAACTCTGGCAAGTTGAGCTTTAAATTAAAGGGGAGACCTGGGAGCGATTAAGGCTATTTGTAATACCATTTTGGTTATGTGTGTGTTTTGTGTTTACCCCTGTAAGATAATAATATTGATGAATCTAGAGTGAAATACAAACACTGTCAAACAAAAAGTATACATGTCCCTCTTGTCTACTAAATTCAATTTCAATTCAGTTTATTTATATAGCGCCAAATTCACAACACATGTCATCTCAAGGCACTTTACAGTTCAACCAGATCATACAGTCAAATTGATACAAAGTTTTCTATCTAAGGAAACCAGTTGATTGCATTGACTCAAATACAATCCCTCACACAGAGTATACTTGTAGCGACAGTGGAGAGGAAAAACTCCCTTTTAACAGGAAGAAACCTCCAGCAGAACCAGGCTCAGTGTGAGCGGCCATCTGCCGAGGCATGTATACTAGGCATGTAAAAATCTTTACTGTGTGTGTGTGATGTGGGGATCAAAAAACTTAGAACACTATTAAAGGTCATAGTTACTACTTTTATCAAAGC